ATGGAGCTGGAGATTAGGAAAGAATTAAGAGTGTCCTCAATGCTGAGAAATACAGGCAGATACTTATCCATCATGCCATACCATCAGGGAAGCCAATGTCATTAGCAACTATCTTCAGCGTAAAGAACAAGGAGTCCTAGAAGTTATGGTTTGGCCGCTAGAGCCCTGACCTCAGTAATCGAGTCTGTCTGGGATTACATGGAGAGACTGAAGTATTCAAGGCAGCCTACATCTACAGATCTGTGCTTACAGTGGAACTTTACCCACAACTTAATAATAATAATAAAAAAAAAAAAAAAAAAATATGTTCTTTAGCAAGGAGCATACATTCTATGGTAAGAATCATGCTACCAAAATTTTTGTGTGGTGTAAACTGCCTCCAGCACTTTTTTTTTTTTTGCTGGAGGCTGCCATTTTGCTTCAGCCCAAAGTCCTGAGCAACAGCAAAACTTTACGCTGTCAGCAGATTGGACTCTACAAATTTGGCAGTGCCAAAAAACAGCAAGTGAGCATGTGCAGAGCAGGGTGAGAGTGTAATACCGGATTTTAAGCAGTATAGGCACTTATTTTTAATGCTTTACATAGCTATGCCAGCAAAAGGGGCCATTCTGAAGAGATCTAGCAGGACTTATTTCTCTAACTAAAGTTCCACTTTAATTCTCCAAGAACAACCTACATGTCGAGTTTCTTTCAAAAACTGTGTGCAAGTGTACCTAGAGGAACTGATGCTATTTCGAAGGCAAAGGGTGGTCACACTAAATATTGATTTAGATTTCTCTTCTGTTCATTTACTTTGCATTTTGTTAATTGATAAAAATAAACTATGAACACTTCTATTTCTGAAAGCATCATTAATTTACAGCATTTTTTCACACCTGCCTAAAACTTTTGCACAGTAAAGTACGTCACTACAGGGGACCATTATGATATGGCAGTGGGTGTTCAGCAAACCGTGAGGGCTGCAGGAAACACAGGATAGACACCCCAAAGTGTTAAAACAACTGTCACCCTGTATGAAGAACTAAGCACAAGTAAAGACTGCAAACAAAAGTATGCATAGGTATCTGTTCTGCCGCCCTTGTCATGGAGCTCTGCTGAGGATAAAAATAATCATTCTGAAATCAAACACTTCCAACAAATGCTGATGGCCTCCCGCTGAGCTCCGATTCATCCACTGGCTCCTATGTTACTAAATGACCCAGAAGTCAGATAGTGATGGAAGGAACCACAGAGGTTAGCAGGGGACCAGACATGGGACACACCCAAAATTGTGCTGAATGCTGAGCAGTCTTTGGCAAATCAGTGACGGTTTTTCACTTAGATGGAAGGATAGGCAAGTATTTACGCTCGGCTTTGCAGGCTGGCCTGGTGTTCAGTTCCTTCCCTTCCCACACACACCCACACACATAATTACAGTCTTCAAATAAAAGTAAAAATGGCACTGCCTACAATACTGAAACATCCCCTTCAGCCCCAGTTCGCACTGCCACACAGAAATCGCACTGTATTCCTGTGCAAATCACATGCAATTGTGTGGTGTGATTTGGGCCCATTCATATTCAATGGCTCAAATCGCACAGCATCCACATTAAAAAGGTTCAGGAAGTTTTTTGCACTGGAACCGAATAGCATGGGTGTTCATACCCATGTGGATTCAGTGCAAGCAAATGCACTGTGTTTTGCAAACTGCTTTTAAAGGTCTTGTTAACTTTAAATTGACACCCGCAGCAAATCGCATGCACACAGCACAATTGCTGCCGTGTGTGAAACGCACAGGAATCGATGTTTCCCGCACCGCATCAGTGTGCACCAGGGCTCAAGAAGACCTGAAATAAATATGCAGGCTGCCATTGCTAACCTCACTCAAAGTGGTTGTTTACCTGGCAATCTCAGTGCTTTCCAAGCCACTGAAGCCAAAGCAGGCAATGAACAAGTATTGTAGTGTTTAGCATTGCCTTCTAATGTTCACTGGTGTTCTCCAATCTAGCTCTGCACAGACCACCAAATTTTGCAACATTTTACTTCACTACTCACTGGTTGACTGCAAGTGGAACCTTGTTAAGGTGTTCTAGCCTAAAAAGAATCTTGTCAAGACAAAATGTAACTACAGCCATAACAAATTTTAATATTGCAACGCTATTAAAATTAGTATCACTTATACCTAAAACATTGTTCCCACATACAAAAAAAAAAAAAAAAAAAGTCCAGAAAACTATACAATAAACCCACTTAAAAAAAAAAAAAAAAAAAAAACACGAAAAAAAAAAAAAAAAAAAAAAAAAAAAAAACCATAACACAATATTATCTTGACCTCCGGTCCCTTTTTGTTTTTTCTGTGTTTTTGTTCATGGTTTTCTCATTGTCCCCTCTGCAGTCAGGACAGTACCATTTGCCCTTAGGTTTATAGGTAAGTCCGACACAGGAGAAATGGAACCACTCTATGGCACATTCCTCATTGTCACATCCTATCATCTCCCCATAAGACACTTGATTGCACAAGCAGTACGTTGGCTCATTGGGGTCCACTACAAATGGAATCGGGGACACCTCCCTTTCCTGCTTGGCTTTGGTTCGTTTCTTTTTCTTGGAAGACTTGGCCTTCTTTTCTTTGGGTGGTTCATCACCATCATCTGTTCCATTGACCATGTGACACAAGTCCCGACTCTCACTATTGCGCTGTCTGCGAGGTCTCCGAGTAGAGCGCTCGGCTGTATTGGATTCAGATTTGGACTTTTCTGAAGGTTTTTCACTTTCATCTGGCTCAAAGAAGCCTTTGCCAAGGGCATCAATCTGCTTAGTCCTATTTTCTACCAATTCCAGTACCTGTGTGACAAGCTGAATTTTGTCATCACCCAGTTCCTGGGTCACAATAAGAGCTCTCTGAAGTTGCTGTAATAAACGCTTCTTTTGGTGTGGATCACTTTCATTAGAATGCTTCTCTGAGACCTCATCAATCTCCTTCAGCGCCTCTGCAGATGAAAAAGGAACAATAAATGTCTATAGGGTGGCAAATCTATAAATCATTATACAGGATGAGGTTGTTATGAACACTCTTAACATTGTCACATTCCCCACATCATAACCTTCCAGTTACCTAAATCACAAGGTTTTTCTTCCTCCAGCATCTGTCTGAATTCTGCAGGGCTGTGAATGCCCCCCACAACCGTGTCATTTATTCACACTGATCTGTGGCTAGGAGGACTACAAGTCCCATGTGTCACCCTGTAGATCTCAATGGAGCACAAGTATGGTGAAGTCACCTCCCTTGTAGTCCAGCATTTACGTCCTCCAGCCCTGCTATAGTAGGTCCCCACCTTTATACGGAGCCAGGGCTGGGTGGTAAGGTTGAAGAGTCAGCAGGTACCCATGCATTGCTCCTGCAATGAACTGATTGTGGCTGCAGCACTCTGGATGCACAAATGCAAAAAATGTGTTTTTATTCTTCTATCAATGTGGGTGTTTTTGTTATCTTTTTAAAAGGTGCACTAGGACATTAAGTCAAGTGCATTTAGACAAACTGCAGAATGAAACTAGAACTGGAATCTAAACACTGAATGTGATGGTGGCTGTGGCAAATAAGCTTACAATGGGTTGATGACATTCTTCTTACCTCAAGTGACTGTCTTAGGGACTGGCAACTGCCTGCTGTGGCTCAAGCACTGCATCCTAGTAGAAGGACAGCTACTCCCTCATAACCAGGGTTTTAAAAAAAAACATAAAAATATATTCCTTATGTCTAATGCTAACCATATATTTACCAATAACATAATCATAGAATAAATCACCTGGAACAATATTAGAAACAAGAGTTTATATATAGGTACACCTGTCAAACTTGAGATTGGATTTAGCATGTACACCAATCCTTTAACCCATGACTGATCTGCTGGAGGAGAGGCCTTGACCATGAAAATAAGACAAAAAGCAGTCTTGCCATAAAACTGTTCTCTTGCAAGTATCCACCACAAACATTGAGGATTTATTAAAGCAGAACTCTAGGCAAACATTTTATTGCAGTGGGGCTGAGCCCACATTGTATGGGTCAACTGCTTGTTTTTTCTAGGGGTGAGTGCAAAGCTCATACTCTCCTGACCCGTTGATCCTCCGGGAAACCACGCTCCCCCATGGCCAAGCAGTGAACTGTTCCTGTCTATGGAATATGTGATGTGCGTGCCAACATCGGGAACAGTCCATTTACAAGACCACTGAACTGCGGGGAGCAGAAGCCAAGGGACCAGTCTTGTTGTGGGGAGGATCGGCGGGTCAGGTAAGTAAATCTCCGCAGTCCTTTCCTCTAGAACAAAACGAGCAGTTAACCCATGCAGTGCTGGCACAGCCCCACAGCAGGGAGAATTTTTTTTTTTGCCCAGAGTTCTCCAATAACCAGAACATGGATGATTTGTTACTATTTTATACTGCCAGTGGGCTGCGGAGAAAAAAAAGCAAGCACACACACACACAAAGATTCCCCCTTCCACACATTCGAGGATGACAGGGATTCCCTTATTTTACTCTTAATAGCGAGGACTCCTCTGCTCTCAGAATACACTGATCAACACTATTGGCTAGAGTGCTAGTCGAACATAAATATTTCACCATTCCCATTTGAGAGGACAACTGTTCACTAGATTGACTGCTCTTGAACGGGAACAGCCATAGATGGATCAAATCTCTGCCGTTCCCTGCTCAGCTTCAATCAATCCATCTATGGGCAGCTTTACTGTGTATCAAATTTTTGTTTAGCTTCCCCTATACATCCTACCCGCACTGTGATCACTCTGTAAGCAATATGATCAGGCTACAGCAAACACTGAAGCAATGATCCTGTACATGAGAACGATGTAGACTTGGTATCAAAACTTGCAATAGAAACCTGACTACTGAATTCACATTCACTTCGTCCGACAAAAATCCCAACACCCCCCACTCCCCTTCTTCTACAAATGATAACTGGAATTCTCATCTGAGGCAATCAAAGAGTTTACTGTGTGCTGTTTTACACGATGTTCTGTTTTTGTGCTTCACTGTAAGCACACTGCTCTGCATGGCCGTGCTGTGGACAGTCATGCAAAGCAGTGTGATGAAGCTGACAGGGAGGAGCACTGTTTTGTTTACTAACAGTTCTCCCCCCCCCCCCCCCTCGTAGATCCTCGGTAATCACCAGGTGTCGGCGAGTAATCACCAGCTCCTCGGTAATCATCCTGGTGAATGACTGCCGCGGCTGTGAATGGTGGCATGAGTAGGGCATGTGCGTGCCCCCTATCAGAAAATGCAAAAATCATGTATCTATACGTGATTTTGCACACATATGCCGCCCTGTAGCAGTATTTCTGCTATGGGGCGGAGCTAAAGCAGTTAAAGCAAACATCCATCAATGTCTCCATGCTTTATTTTGCCAAGAAATCACTTTGAAAAACACCCCCTAGATTTTCTGACTATGGCCATCTTGAGTAAGGGCAGATGATTCATCTAGCATTTACTTCCTGGAATCCATCTGCCCTAGTGCTTAGCTGAGAAATCCCCTCCTGAAGACTCCTGGGATGCATGACTGACATAATTTGCCTAGGCCTGGGAACCAAGATGGAACTGAAGAAATGTAAAAAAAAAAAAAAAAAAATATATATATATATATATATATATATATATATATATATAAATAAATGCTAGCAGCATAAGGATTAAAAATAGTCAATGTTAATTGAGAGAGCGAAGTTCTACTTTAACCTTTCAATCTCTGAAGGCATGGCTGCATCATGAATGTTTCCATAGCTGTGTGCATTGTAGGTAGGGTTGCCACCTCATCCCTTTAAAACAGAACACATATGAATGACACAGGTTCTGGGGCTGATTAACGTGGTAATTAAACTCACTTAGAGCCTTATCTGTAATAAATCATCCTCAGAACCCGTGTCATTAATATGTGTTCTGTTTTAAAGGGATGAGGTGTCAACCCTAATGGCAGGTTATGGCAGGTGCCTTCTCTGCATCATACGTTATGACAAAAAGGCTCCCTGCTTGTAATACCAATTAGGAGACCTTTTTCGGCATCATAAGAGCTTTATGATCTTATATTATGTATATTTGAATGTTTTGTATCAATAAAGTGTCTCATATTGTTTTTTTACATTGTTGTGCCTATAATAAAAGGGTATTCCATTTACAGCTGTGTACATGCAACAATGCTCCCGTGTTCCAAACAGATCTCAGTGTAGATGGTGACAAATGCTGCATGTTTCCGCCTGTGTGCACAGAGAAGGTGGAGACTGGCTGCATAACCAGCTCCATATAAATAAACAGGGCGGCCAGCTGCTGTGTCTGCATTAGGCGAATGCAGGATGACACAAGGATCTAGAAGTGACATGACCCGAAGGGGTAGAGGAGGCGTGTCCCAAGCGTATCCATAGGCTGCCATGTATAGAGGGGGCGGGCCATATCAGGTCCGGGTGTGGATGACATGACGTTATCCATGTGGTATGCAGAGCCCGCCCACCGGAGGCGGCACACGGCAGGGGACGTGTGTGTGCTATGTTCCTGGGCACGGCCCCGCCCCGGATGTGACGCCCCTGTCAGCACCCAGCCGTCACACGGTATATAAGAGCTGGTACAATGTAACACGGCCATGGTGCTCTTCCAGCCCTCCCAACATATAAATACAGCCAATAAACTCCTCAGAGCCGTTCAGGGCAGCTCGTAATCAGTACAATGCCCGCCCACACTAAAAGCTGTCAGGCCGCGCTGAGACCTGTAGTGCCACCACAGTTCCAGCTTTCAAAATGGCTGAATGAGGCTCAGGAGTGACACCTAGACAGGACGGCGAGTGTCTCGGAGGTTCCAGCAGTGACATCCCCCGTGTTGTGCAGGAATTCCGAACATTGCCCTATACGAGGCCCCCCTTGTAGTGTGGGGAAGGAGGGTGGGTGCCGTACAGGGGAGCCCGGCCACGTGTGTAGCCCCCCGCTCACCTACCTCTATACTTGGTGTCGATCTCCCGCAGTACCCGGTGATGGTTCTCTGGATGTCCAGGGGCAGAGACTCCATACACTCCATGTATTCCTCCACATAGGTCACCAGCTGGCTCTCCTCGAGCCCTCCGCCGCTCCCTCCCGGGGAGTAGTAGAAGCTGCTCGGTGGCGCCGGTGGTGGCGGCTGTTGTTGCTGCTGCGGCTGTTGTTGTTGTTGCCCCAACATGGTCCCGTGATCAGAGCATCCAGCAAAGTTCCGGGATCCGGGGGGCTGACTCCTCGCCTCGGAGGAAGGGCGGAGTTGTGGGGCGCTCCGGTCCCGTCGCTCTTGTTGCTCCTCGCCGCCTCCCCCGAGCTCTATCTCCGGGGCCGCATTCCAATTTGGAACCCGGCGGCCCGAGCTGATATTCTGCGCATGCGCGTACATCGCCTTATAAGGCAGGACGCCCCTTTTTTTCTCGCTTTTATTGTGTTCGGATTTTCCCGCATTTCCCCCAGCTCGCGTTGATTGGGCAAGCGGATCGAAAGGAGGCGTGGTGGTGCATGTGGGTAGGACCTGGCTGAACCTAGGTCACGCCCCTCAGCTTTAACTCTTCCGCTTGTTGGAGAGCTCGGTGCTGGTCTGCTCGCTGTGAGCTGGGCCTCAAAGTTTACTGGGCGAACCTGTGGAAGTGTGAGGAGACACAGCCGCCTCAGGCCTCTCTGAGGGGACACTGCGGGGTCAATGTTGTCACACACCAGTCATTTTCTGCCATTCCATTGAAAAATCTGTGAATTGTGGCTGAACGCGGTGTAAACACTGCATAAATATATTCATGGACCCTGGGTGTTAACGCAGTCAATGTGTGAGGGATTTCTATGTACATTACAGGGATACCTGCTACACTGAGGGCTTCTATTATAGATGGTCGGCTTCATGTCCAGCATGTTAGGGTCCATCAACACCATGTGTTGGGCTGCTCTGGGCGCTTACCTAAGGCAAATTGTAAACCCTTATTCCCTGTACACACGATCAGAAAATCATGAAAAATGTCACTTTTCCCATAATCTGATCGTTGGTACGCAGTCCGAAATTATTGGAAGGGACAAGCATGATCATATTTCTCGTATGACACCAAATCGTACGATTTTTGTTTGACCAGCACAGTTTTTGTCTGAAAATACAATACATCACTTCCGAATTTTCTGTCTCTCGTACAAGAATTTTCGTAACATCAGTATGTCTTCACTTTCCATATGAGACCAGCATGGAAAAACAATGGCCGATCATATGTCCAATATTGTCATCGTGTGCACGGGGCAAAACACATCTCCCAACTGTCCCTGATTTCAAGGGACTAGCCTGCATTTGGAACAAAAAGTCCCTCTGTCCTCCTCATTTGTCCCTCATTTTGGTCTGATCTATAGAGTTGTGTATATAAAATGCACTATTTATCTGTCAAAAATGATTTTACAGTGCTAAACCTTTCATCCAATTTCTAAATTTCTGCATTTGGATATTTTCAAAGCCAATATAAAAGAGGAGTAGTGGAGAAAAAAACTACTTGTGGGTTTAACCTCTTCAATACCGGGCACTTTTACCCCCTTCCTGCCCAGGCCATTTTTCAGGTTTCAGCGCTCTCACACTTTCAATGACATTTGCGCAGTTATACAACATTGTACCCAAACTAAAATTTTATAATTTTGTTCACACAACTAGAGCTTTCTTTTGGCGGTATTTAATCACTGCCGGGGTTTTTATTTATTGATAAATTAACAAAAATAGACAGAAATTAAAAAAAAAAAGTTTCTTTGTTTCTGTTATAAAAGTTTGCAAATAAATAATTGTTCTTCATAAATTTAGGCCAAGATGTATTCTGCTACATTTCTTTGGTGAAAATAACCCAAATTAGTATTTATTATTTAGTTTGTAGGAAAGTTATAGAGTTCACAAACTATGGGATAGATCTGAAAATTGATCAATCCTGAAGTACTGACGGCCAATCTAATGGCTTGAGGTCCAAAAATGTCAGAATTGTACAGATATCCCCCAAATGACACCTGTTTGCAAAGTAGGCAGTCCGCCATATTTCATAAGAGGCATGGCGAGTTTTTTTGAAGTTGTAATTTTTTTTGTCATAATTTTTTGGAAAATGAAATGCAAAAAATTATTTTCACAATTTTTTTTTGGTGTGGCGGTGATCAGGGGCACTGACTGGTGGCAGTACAAAAAAATTATACGTTTTTTCATTATTTTTTATTTTTTAATACAATTTTTTTCTATTTTTTTTAAGATTTTTCTTTTTCATCTTACACTATGACCAAAATAGTATAATGTTACCATAGTAACATTTTACTACTTTGGGGAAGTGATCAGTATTTTTTTTTTTTTCACAATTGAATTGCTTATAGCAAAGAATTATATATATATATAGCAAAGAAGTATATATATATATATATATATATATATATATACACACACACACGTGATTTTGCGCATCTGTGCCACCCTGCAGAAGTATTTCTGCTATAGGGCGGTTGGGAAGCGGTTAAGGAGGGTGTGGCAGGAGCCGTGTCCTATAGCTACATACTGTTGCTAATAGGTGTCCCTCATTCGCATCTCAGGTAGTTGGAACGTATGCCTTACATATACCTAGTGAAGTAACTGACTTCAGGTGATGCAGAGATGAAATAAATTCTACATAAGTTGTACCTGTATATATGCAGTCTTCTATTCTTTACAGCTGTTCAAAGTGTTTATAAAGTTTTCCTGAGCGTTCAGAACAAAAGGGGGTGGAGAGCTGAAGTTACACTCTAGAGCTCAGTGAGGAGAGCTATGAGAGCTGATTGGAGGGAAGAGACACACCCCCTCTACACAGGAACAGAGCTGATGCTGGATGTCCTTCCCCTGGGCATTCTGATCATGTGACCGCTGTGATTTTCAGTCACATGATCGGAAAGCTCCCAATCACAAGCATACATAAGAAGCTTTACGGTACCCGCTGATTACTCTGCTGGGAGCATGCTTTCAGCACAGGAAAATGTTTACATAGCGATGCATATACAGTCAGGTCCATAAATATTGGGACATAAACACAATTTTAACATTTTTGGCTCTATACACTACCACAATGGATTTGAAATGAAACGAACAAGATGTACTTTAACTGCAGACTGTC